GGTTCTTAAAAGAAAGAAAAACTCCTACTTCAAGGCTCAAAGGGTTGACTAGGGATTAACATCCTTATATCTCCAGTGTTTGGGATTTGAAACAACGCCTTACATCATCAGCAGGTTTTAATTGAAAGCATATGACAAGAAATCTGACGTTTTGGGTTCGTCATCCTCCTCCCAATTCTCCATCAGAACAAGAGATCGGGTGAAGTTGGCATTATGATTTATGAAAACGTTTTTTGAATGAGTGAAACGAATGGATTTATTCAAGACAAACATATGCGTTGCATTAATTAATCAAAGATAAACAAGTTCGTGCATGCTAAATATGCTTAATCAAAGAGAAATACATATAAATAAACAAATGAACTGTCGGAAAAATCCTTCTAAATGTTTATGAGATCCTGCATTCAAGAGTAACAGTTTCCTTTGGCGGAGCCTCAATGGAAAGGACGTCTGGTTTATGGTCACTGTGAGTCGTCATGGCTTGCCCCAGTTACGCTGGTCACATCTTCAAAAGTTTTCAGTCGTTGCTTCAAAATAACTTTCCCGGATTCTTTGTTGATCCCGGTCATATCATCTGGAGGGTTACTGAAATGAAGCGGGCTAGGCCTTTGAATAATTACTGGATTCGACTGATTTGCCACAGGAGTAGCATGCTTTGCAGAATTCGAACCCGACAAGTGAGGGACCCCGAGAGGAGTCTCGATCTTCGGCTGAGCATTGCTAAAGGACAACTTCTTCGCTTCTAGCAAATCTATGACAACTTTCTTAAGAGCATAGCAATTCTCTAGATCATGGCCGGGCGCACCCTCATGAAATAAACAATGAGCGGTAGCGTTGTAACTTGCAGGTAATGGATTAGGTGGAGGACCCAAAGCACGGGTGGTAATCAGACCTTGTTGTACCAAACGGGGGTATAACTCAGTGAAAGTCACCGGAATTGGAGGACAAGGCTTATACTGACTCTTACGGAGATAAGGAACCTGATCCTGTGATTGCTGGTGAACAGGAGCGTTGGGCACTCGTTGACTGTCGACAGGAACTTGCATAGGCGAATAACCGGAAGGTTGTTGATAAACTGGTGCCTGATATACCGGGGCTGACTGTACAGGCTGGCATGTAGGAAACTGCTGATCAAAAGGAGGTGCAACAGTAGCTACATAGGGTTGTTGAACATATAGAAACGGATAACCTTGAACATAACTCTGCTGATGTTGTAAAGGTCGAGGAGTAGCCTTTTTGCGGTTCTTTGAACGTGTAGGTCCTTTACCATGGTCGGAGTTAGGAGTTTTACACTTTGGAGGGGTAGCTCGTCGAACTGGTCGAGCACTAGGAGGCATCAAATCGGATTGAAGACCCTGAGGAGGTACATTCTTGACAGTAACAGCTGGTTGAGGTTCCATAACGGTATTAGTCTCAGAAACAACAGTAGACTGAGCATCCACCTTCACACTAAGAGCTCGTAACATCTCCAAAATCTGCCCTACACTTCCTCGAAGATCTTCGAATTCATGGCTGACACGGTTGATCTCTTGGTTTTGATCTTCCATTCTTTTGAAGGGTCGTATTGATGCAGAGAACTTAGGATGACAAAACTGGAAGGTGAGAGAACCGAGTATGAGAAATCGGGAGACACATGCAATGCAAAAGTATGATGCTAAAATGTGAATGCAAATGAAGATTTCATGGAATTCAAACATTTACGAATGTCGTGGGGTACCAAGGAAATCTTTTTCTTGTTTTTTTTCATTTTATTTTTTTTTATTTATGGTATCCCGCGATATCCATAAATGATGTTTGAACTCCATGAAATACAATGCAATGAGATGCTTTATGGATGCAATGCATGAAAACACACAAAGTCCTAGGTTAAAGGAACGTGAGCGGAGTTAAGGTCTACCCATCCCAGAAAGGAGTGTACTATAGGTTATTTGTACCTGCAGAACAAGGTTCTAAAAGGTGCCCAAAGTCATCAGCCCATCTTTCGGATATTATCAACCTTCCGATTGACTCGGGGGTTAATAATATTCTCAAGAGAACCTCTTTTGAGTGTAGTATCACGTAGCAACCGTTGTAAGATTACTCCCACATAGTTCCCGCACTACGTCCTAAATAAGGCCAAGGTGGTGTTAAGGTACTACGGTCCTCAATATCACAGACTCCAATCGACCATGGAAAAAGTTTTCGCGATTACTCGTTCAACCGAACCATTTTCGAAAAGGTCTCAACTGAGCGGTGATTCTCGAATCAGCTTGGTCGGGATTCAACTCCCTATAAGCCTCATCGAATATATCCCCATCCTATAATAATGTCACTAGTCCGGGCGTAGGACTTATCTCACAACACAAGGAACAGTCCCAAAATCAAAGTACAATATATACATGCAAATGAATAGTAAAACAAATAGTAATAAATAGGAACAAATTAGGGGTAACCCTCAAAAGTTTAGAAAGTCCCCAGTGAAGTCGCCATTTTCTGTTGCGGTGGAAATAGGATCACAAACTATTAATGAGTTTGAATCACAATTCAATTCACAACCGCTCTTTGATTTATCCAAAGGAAAAGGTCAAAAGAGGGAAAACCTATTTTTGCATCGTAAACACAATGCGGGGAAAGATCTAGGGTTCGGGGGTTGGTTAAATTTAGGGAAGGTATTAGCACCCTAAACTTCTGTAGTACTCTACAGGAACCTTTTGTTCAGAGGTTTACTATTTGCTTTATTTATTTGCTTAAGGTATATGTACAAAAGATTAAAAGTGAGAAAAGAGACCTAAGGGGTTAATTCTAAGTTTACTCGGCAAGACATCGCATCTTGTGCCTACGTATCCTTACGGGAGTGGAATCAGAGTAATCGTAGTTCCCCTCAAAAGGGAGGTTAGAAACTTCTTGACTGTGGTCAAGGTCTCAAGGGGAATAAACGCATCTTAAGGACAAGCTTACGTGGAGTGTAGAAACTCCAAATCTCTACGTTGAAATGTTAAGTTGTAATTAGGGTTAAATTAGGGATTCCACGGCGGGAAACCCTAAAATGAGCGCGGCGGCTCTTTGACCTAATGCTAGGGGTAAAATTGTAATTTTGCCTGCGGCGAGGCATTTGTGAAAATTAGGGTTTGTAGTTTGTAGTTTTGAGGGTTTGAAACTGAATGTGTGAAATTTGAGGGTTTGAGGACTATTGGCATGGCGGCCAAACGGCTAGACCTAATCCTTCGGAGGTGTGATGTGACAGAAGTAATAGTGATGAAAGTGTGAGAAATTTAAATCATACAAACGGAAATAATGACCTAATTTAACTATGCAAGCAGAAATTTAAAGGCAGAATTTAAAGAGCGATTGTTAAGTTCGCGAGGTTACATGAGAGGAGCAGATACAATATGATAATGAAATTTGAATTGAACAATAATAAAATAAAATAAATAACGGTTCTAGTTATTATTTTAAAAAAAAGATTTTAGTTATTATTTTAAATTTACCTAAAAAAAAGTTTTTCTTAAAAATAATAGGTTTTCATATTAATTTGGAAAAGATGTTAATGTTATTTATTTTAAAAAACAGATTTTTATATTATAACAAGTTTTAATAAATTAATGATAACAATAATAATAATAATGGTAATAATAATGATAATAATGATAATAATAATAAATAATGATAATAATAATACTAATAATAATAATAATAATAATAATAATAATAATAATAATAATAATAATAATAATAATAATAATAATAATAATAATAATAATAATAAAGCAATAATGAATTTTAAATGTGCCAAATAACCCAACAATGTTGCTAACGCAGAAATGCGCTCATCGCAACCAGATCTAAATCGGACGAAACAAAATTTATCGCAAAGAAAAAAAATTAAGCAAAAAATAGTATTATTGCTCACACAAAAATGCGATCATCGCAACGAGATCGAACTAACACAAATGTCACGCGTCATGCACACAAATGTGCAAACATCGTATCGACATAATTCGATCAAAAATTAATCTTATATATATAAACTCTAACAATTTAAAAATTATATATATATAAACGTAACAGTAATAGATAAAGAAAAAGAAATAACGGTAATAGATGAAGAAAAAGAAATAACGGTAAAAGACGAAGAAAAAGAAACAACAGTAATAGATGAAGGAAAAGAAATAACGGTAAACGATGAAGAAAAAGAAACAATAGTAATGGATGAAGAAGAAAACTAAATAACGGCAAACGGCACTCACTCCTCTTAGGTTTTTTTCATTCTCCCCCCCTTTTTTCCAACAAGGCAACACATGTATATATAGGGAACAAATTAGGGTTAACACCAAATTGTCAATAATGTCCCTAAAGCCCATTTTAAAGCCCAAACTAAATAATTAGTTAATAAAAAATAATTAAAATAAACTTAAAATAAAAACTAATAATCCTATTGATTCCTAAAACCAAAAATATTATAAAAAGAAAAAAAAAATTTTCAATATTTTTTATTTTATGATTTTTTGGATATTTTTATGAATAATTTAGAAAAAAGTGAAAAAAATAATATTTTAAAAAATAATTTAATTAAAATACGAAAATAATAATTAAATAATAATAAAAAACTATTTTTGTTATTTTTTTAATGAAAGATAGAAAAATTTAGAGTAAAAATAATAAAAAACAAAAAAAGTGACAAAGGTGAGATTCGAACTCTCAACCTCTCACACTCATAACTCCTTACACATGTCCTCCTGCCAATTGTGCCATTTTTACTTTTTAGAAAAAAAATGCATGTCATATGATATTTACCTGCAAAAAGTCAAACGACTACACAAATTTGTTAGTAATTGATTAAATGCAATAAAAATGCAATGAAATGCGACGACAAATCTTAGGGCAAAATTTGGGGTATTACAGATATATTATTCATTTTTTATATTGATAGGGATCCCCAGATTCCCGTCACTACGGATTGATTGTCTCTACCTAACTACATGGTAGTGGTCTAGGGAGCGCAATTGCTAGAGCACGGGAGAATGAAGAGTAATGATTTCAACAAGAGCAGCCGGACGGAATACTATAGTGAGTCCTGTGACTACTAGAGTAGAGTTGAGTCAAAAGGTATGGTATAACAGCCTTTCCGAGCGAGCTTCTGGGATCTCCTGTAAACCCCCATGGTGTGGTAAAGGGAGGATATTAGGGGAAGCAGTGAGTGGAGATTCCCCTGCAGAGAGCCGGATGAGGGGAGACCTTCACGTCCGGTTCGGAGGGCGGGGATATCCTGACCCTACTATCATTATGCCTTTGCAATGTTACTTGGTTCAACTCTATTTGTGACCTTTTCTCGTATGTGGGACTCTCTATCTTCTTGGGTAGATAATCAATCGTCTTTCATTTTGATAGTTAGTAGTATTTATTATAATAAGTCAATAAATAAGAATAAATAATAATAGAACTGGAGGAGCTAAAAGCCGGGATGGCTTGGTAAGCAAGCAACCTGTTATGTAGGCGCCAACTCCCATTTCTTTCTCTTCTTTATTTTTGAAAGTCACGATCAGAATGAAAGGTAGTTCGCTGGGCCTGTATTTTGATCCCAGAGGTGCTGGTTCGACTCCAGCTTGTGAGAAGGATTTTTTTTTGTCATATCCCTTTGTCTCGTTTGTTCTTATTCAGTTCCTTTGTCCTTTCATCGCTCAACTATTTGTTGAACATAGAATTCGCCCGATATAAGATTAGTACCAACTGGGATCATAAAGCGGATTGGGCTAACGGAAAGGGAGGAGTCAGTCGTTCTGCCATCGATTACAAGAAAACCTTCCCCGAGCTACAACCCTCACTGTCGATTCAAGACACAAACAACTACCTGTACCACAACCACTGACATATGCGGTATGCGGGTGTCAGGTCTAGGTCTAGATGGAGGTTCTCGTTCCAGTTCTATTTCTAGTTGAAAACAACAAATTAAAATTTAATCACCAAGTGGATATCTCAAGAACAAAAGGTGCCAAGCCTCGGATTCGACTTGAAATGAGGATAAGACTTTCAGCTAGATATGTATGATTCACCCGGTACCTGGTATTGGTAGTAGCATCAGTCTCTTTCCCCTTCCTCTGTATGAGTTGAGAGGCTGAGGGGAAGTCTACTAACTATAGGGCTACTCCACCTGACTCACGGTCGCTCCACGGGAAACCACCACTAGGAGATGAAGTAAGCCGAGGGTTTCGAGGCAGATATCGCCATGACACGGTAGTAGGGAAACCGGTCCTTGTAAGCAGCACTAGAGAGGGGATAGAGACTCTAGACTTCAAACTAATGTCCTTCTTCCTCTGAGCCAGGTTCCTTATAGAGTCTATCTACTAGAGACATTAACGGTGCTCACTCGGGGTTGGGAAAATGAAATACTCGAATGGAACGCCCTCCATGGTACAGTTCGGCGGACACGGAAGAGCTAGTTCATAGGGCTCGTGCAGTCATGGGACCGACGGTGAAAAGCTCGGGATGATGATGGGGCTAGCAACTGGTCCTCAAAGAAGCTAGATCTCTTGGGCGCTTTGTTTCCCTTGTAGCAAAGTTATACTCATTCCGTACGACGAAGGATTGGGCCTTCGAGGTCGGAACTCATCACATTACTGGGTAAATCAGTTGGGGGATAAGGGTTTTAGTTCAATAAAGGTGCTTCTCATTATATCGAATAATAAGTTAGGCCTGTAGTGCTCCGGGATTCTAACCCGTTCCCTGGTAGTAGAGAGAGAGAGATCCGCATAAGTCGTGCTGGGGAATACCAGCTAAGTAACTCGAAACTGGTAACTATAGCCCGCTCGCCTTTCGCTACTCTAAGTAAGCATGTCCCTTCTTTGGCAAAGGCTACTCGCTCGCGGTAGACTTTGCTAGCTTTATTGCTGGCTCTAAGCCTACCTCCTTGACTACATCCTGATAACCGCCTTCCTGTCTTGACAGAAGAAGCAATGAAGTAAGCGTCTCCGGACATAGAAAGTAGGCAATCACTTTAACTTCGTTAGCGGTGTAGGTTTCAGCCGTAGTTTCTGGTATCGACACAGACATTGGGAAATCTCTATACGATTGAAGTCAGTGTGCAAGACAAAGTCTAGTTTTTACTTTGAGTTCCTCTTATAATAAAATAACATATAAGAAGCATTCCACAGTCGTAGGTACTCAATTCAATTGGATTGAACTGCTTGAGCAGGAGCTTTGGACTCGACGAGGTATTGGGTGCTTGCCCTATTAAGAGTCTCTTCCATTCTCTCTTCACCAGACAGATAGACAAATAGGCAATCCGATAGAGAGATTATGGCTTCCTCACTATCAACAAGCTTCCACAGGCGATGAACTACTTCCGACTTCTTCGGTTTGTAGCCATACCGTATAGAGTGAAAAATACCTTTGTTTGGGAGTAGCTAGATTAAAGCAAGATAGTTGCGGATTCTGTTCATAGAGAGCCCCATTCCTCACTCACAAGCTCTTTCTCAGCCCCAGGTTGAACCTAACAAGTGCATTCAGTTTAATGTCCAAAATCAGTTGAAATTAAAAGGACGTACAATTGGCGAGAAATGAAGTTCCTTTACTTAGGGCTTAAAGCCCTTCTTGCCCTAAGTCTAATCCCTAATCATGCGCAACACATGGACTTGAAGTCCTGCTTTCAGGATTTGATGCTCTTTTGAGACAGCTTTCAATAGAACATAGAGCTCTGCCCTTCTGGCTGTCCTAACGAGTTCACTGCCTTAATCCCTTAAACGGAACAGTTAATCGTAGAGCAGGAGGAATTCTTTCTTTCTTTCCGCTAGTCAGGAATGGAATCAGACGCTACAAATACGAATTATTGGGGCAATTTTCGATATTAGACAAATAGGGCACTATAACGCTATTCTTCCTCCTTCCCCGCTTAGGCCTTAGGGGCTTAGCTTAGGACATTAGCAGTAAGACTTCTGCAAGGTAGCAAAAGAAGGAGTAGCAGTGGAAATCACAGTAGTTGTAGCAAAATAATAGGCACACTAGGCCTCCTCTCTAAGATAAAATAGGGTAGGCAGGCTACTTGAATGGACATCTTAGATGGCATCAAGCTGAGCACAAAACAGATCTGGGCTGCTAGTAAGGAGGGTTGTGAAGCCTTCTAGCATAAGTGATGCCTTCCCAAGGTACTGGAATTGGGGAAACTTGACCGTGGAGATAAGAAAACCTGTCCTTAACGGAATGGTGCCCGAACCAAGAGCTAGTCCAGATTGCTTTGATAAAGATTTACCATTTCTGTGTACTTCAATCCCTCTCTCTATCGGATGAGAATCACAAATGTTGGTTCTCATTGTGAGAGAGCCAGACAAATGGGATTTCTGGGGATGAGTCTATCTCCTATAGGCTTCTTTTTTTTATCCCTATAGAGGGAAAGATGTTGGGGGGTGGGGAATTTCAAATTACGACAGCTCGTTAGAGAACTTGACACTATCTATGAGAATCTTTCTATTTGGTTTCTTCCTATAGAGTACAAAAATAAAAAGGAAGCAATAAGCACTCAGAGTTAGTATTAGCTTGCCATGCCAAGCAGGTAAAGTAAGAGAATAGCTTAGAAGGAGTCAAGAAGATAGGAGGGAGGATAGCTATGATCCTGCCAAGGTTTTCAAAAATAATGAAAAATTGATAAAGCTGGAAGCTAGGAATCCTAGTAGTTCTAGGTCTCCATTTTCTTCAGGTAAAGTCTCCGAATATAGCTGTTACTGATAAGGTAGAAAAGCAAGGTTAGTTGTCGGTTTGGTAGTACATCGGAAGGTAGCAGAACGAAGTATAGCGAATGCAAGAGTAAAAAAAAGTGTTTTAGATACTGAAGCAGGTCGAGAGCCAGACAGGCTAACGAGCGAGTGTAGTTGCTCCAAAGCGGGATATGAAAAGGAACCGCAGCTAGGATAGTAAGGACTATCCTCACTGAACCTGAAAAGAGATTTAATCCATTCGTCCGGGGAAGTTAAAAAATCTTTCAAGGCTAGGGTTTTGGTTGCCCAAGACGTGATGAAGGGGTATCGGGAAGGAATTTAGCGAACAAGCTATAGCACTTGAGAATGAAGGGGGGAAAAGCCACAACTGGATGATAGCAAGCCTGGGCTTACGTCGGGAAAAAGAGCGTTGCCTATTCATGTTCAGGTACGAAGTGTGAGTTCTGAAAAAACGAACAAACGAACTCGACCAGAATATTAATGGACTCAGGTTCGAGTTCTTATAGTAAAATGAAGATCGAGTGAAGGCCTTTGAAAAATGCAAAAGCTTCAGGAGCCAGGAGAAAGGAAAGAATAGTGACTTCCTGGGAGGAGGCGTAGGTGATAGGAAGCTAATCAAGGACAGGCTAAGGATTCGAACAGTCCATGGGACCTTCAAGGAAGAAGTGAGATAAGCTAGGATGTGTGTGATAGAGTAACCCCTAGCGAGTATAAGTGGATCAACGCTTCTTTCTTACCTAAGAAGTACCCTTAACTCAGGGTTTCAAGGATCGGTATCGAGATAGTAGCTCGAGGAATCCCTGACTTGCTTGCCTTTTCTTTCATTTCAGGTATGAAACAAATAGCAGTCTCGGTCTATAAGTAGAAAGGCTCAAGGAAATGTGAAGTATAGAGAGTATAAGATAAGCTAAGATCTAGACTCATAGATACCAACGAGCGGGATTAGCTACCAAGTGGGGGAGCTTCAAGAGACTTATAGATGATAGGTAGGTGGGTGGGAAATCAAGAGAAGTGACAAATGATACTCTTAATGGATTTGTCCATTTTCATCCTTTTGAATGGGGCAAGAGCCAGCCCATTCTTATAGCATCCAAGGTAAATAAATGCCCATGGCAGCTCTTAAAAAGATAGGAGAGGAGTGTGAGTCAGTCGAGTCGAGAAGCAACTCATTTATAAGTAAAAAAAGTTTTCATTTTAATAAAGGGAGATTTCCAAGTTTCAAGGAAGAGTGGATTAGCCTCGAATATCTTGATCCACTAGAAAGAGAATTACCAGATACGAATACAAATACAGTTGGAGATCAATAAGCCAAAAGCTTTAAGAAAGCTATTGTAAGGTCAGATTACAGGAAGAGCACAGGTCAATCTTCTTCATAAGTTCCCTTCCCGTCAGGTCAGGATAGGGCGAAAGTTGCTTTGTATTAAATGAGTGATTCACAGTTGTCTTTATAAATTCAAGCATGTATGTTATGCTAGTTCATCTATAGAACGTCAAGACCTTGTCTTCCGTAAGCTAGATACCCGAGAAAGTAGATTAAGGTCATACTTTTTCCTTAGAAAAAAGCCCACCCACGTCTGGGTCAAAAGTTTGTCTGCCCATTAACAACAAGAAAGCCAATTCATAGCGCAAGGAGGATAAAGGAAGGGTAGGAGCTATCCAGTAGAATGCTAGGAGACAAAAGCAAGAAGAGGACCTCGCTACACGAATTGAAAGGAAAGCTCGGACTTATAAAAGGCTTCGAATAACATAATCTCGTTTTTCCTCCAGCAAGGAGCAGAGCCAGTTCAACTCATGAAATGGATGCTTTCGTAGGGGCTGTATGCCTTTTTATTCCTAATGCTAGAGTTGGCCTGACCGGCTTCACAGGATCATTTCCACTCTGTAGGCCGCTCATTCCTAAATAGGAAATAAAGTGCCTTTTCGATTCTTCCTTCCTGCTTGTATGCTTTCCCTAGGAAAATTGACTCATTCTAGCTCTCCTCTACTTCAACCACTAAGTGCTTCGCTCCTTTAATTAAGAATAGAAAATATCGCCTTTTTGGCATGAACATATAGCATGTGTGCCGTGAGGTCAATCACTGTCAGTTCTTCTTTCGAAATTGTCGAATATGATGAAGAGATCTTATCGACTTGAGGCTTCTTTTCAAGCTGAGTAGAAATT